CATGAAGGTTACAGGATTGGGCGAATAATTCCACAAATGGAACCTACGAACTGAGGAGAAGTGAAATTAAATACCACGTCAGTCCCTTGAAACGATTATAGGGGGGCGAAACCAGTGACATTTGCGGTGCAGTCAACAAGTAGTTACGTGCAGGAGTGTTGGGCAGTTCTGGGGAGCTTTAGTACAAAACGTTCTCCGTGTCAACGGATTCAAATGGACTTAAGCTCGGTGTTACTACGAGCAGAAAAGTGCAAACTTTTCGCACAATAAGAGCGTTATACAGAAGAGCAGTTGGCTAGCATACATAGGCTTTCGACACATTTTCATCGAGTAATTGCATTTATATGGGAACGGGGTAAAAGTTAGACAGGCGGCCGATAATGATGATTGTCTTATCGTAGACCCAACGAAGCCCCCCCCTCCCCCAACGAAGCCTTCCGGGTGATTCATAAGGTCCCACCAACTACCCGAAGTCCCTGGGTCAGCATCTGCTAGCAACAACAGAAGCAACCGCTATACGGCTGAGGAAACCGGTCTTGTGTGCACAAATTAACCCCAACGCAAGCTCCACGTTCGGCATGGCCAACGGCCCCTTAGCTGCATGCCCGTTTCCGCGCCTTCATTCTCCCCTCCCCTTGGTCCGCCTTCAACAAACTTAACGACCGCGTAACCGGTCGTATCTTATCGATCCCCAATCCTTTCTCTCCCTCCCCTATTCCCATGACTCTTGTGATGAGAAAATCATTTTCGACCGCTTGTTTAACTTTTTACTCCGTTCCCATATACATGTGATAGCCCGATGAGAGTTTATCGAAAGTCTCCGATGGTAATTTGTGCAACTTTAAAACAGCGTAATAGGTGAACCTAAAGGAGTTTTAGGGACTTCCGGCGCAAATATTAACGGATATTAAGCCGACGATCAAAGTGATAGGAAGCCAGGCCGGCCGTGCAACGTTTAGGTCCTCTCGCATAGCGTGAGAAAATACAGAACGCCCACCATGTAGACGGCACAGAGGACTGCCTAACTTCCTTCCAGATTCTGTCTTTGTTTCGTAAGAACAACATTCACCATCCTAGTCCGGTGCGAATCTAGTCCAAGAGTGGTCCAATTTATCAGAAAAGGCAATTGAGATAGTGAAAAGAACCAAGGCGTGAAGAATAACGTGACAAAAACAGGTGAACAAATGCTTGCCAGCATAACTGATGAATCCTCAAGTTGAGCACTTTATTTGTCTAACATTCCGGATTCACGCTCGAATCCGCCATTAGGGACAGCATCAGATATGGATAATTAGTGGACATAACTGCAACTCACTGTGTATGAATTACACGTATCTGACGCTGTCTCTGATGATGGATTCGAGCACGAATCGGAAATGTCAGGCGAACAAAGTTATCGTGCTGGCGATCACGTCAACTTCTTCTGAACGACTGTTAGTGTCGACAAATCACCAGACTTAATGAAAGGATATATGCAATTACGATGCACGGTTCTGTTTTTGCCTCATAAGAACAACAGCTACCATCCTATTCCGGTGCGAATCTAGTTCAAGAGTGGTCTATTTTACCTATTCACCAGAAAAGCCAAGTGGAATAGTGAAAAGAACCAAGAAGTGAAGAATAACGTGGCAAAAACAGGTGAACAAATGCTTGCCAGCGTAACTGATGAACCCTGAAGCTGATGGAAGGGACGTCGCCGAGTGCGGTAGATCACAGTGTTTGAGGTGACTTTAAGCTAACGTTTTGAGACAGGTACGCTTCCCTATTCAACGGGATGCATTCACCCAAGTGTATTCAAGGAAAGTGCCAGTGATACCGGGAAGTCGAGCGTTGGCGCCTGACCCGCCAACTACCTCAAAAATATCCGACGACGAAAGCTACTCACTGTGCTTGCGGTTATAACCCTTCCTAGCCTGCCTGACCTTTTGGATGATCCACGAAGTGTCTTTTCACGTGTTTAGATTCGAAACAAAAAGCCAGACGGACTCAACTCATTCTTTGCCAGAGGCGGAGACCGAGTAACGTGGGTTCAGACTTGAATTTGACTGCTTCTTCCTCGCTTAGATGTGTAATATTTGAGTTCATGCGATAGACAATGGATGGTATGGTCGAATCCCTGCATTCAACTTTCTGGGAGGCCTGAAACAGTAAAGTGCAACAAGTATGGGCTTCCAGGCACCTTTGGATTCCTGTAAACTGACCGTTATTAATCAGGGGAAATTCCTTCTACTGAAAACTACAGCTTGACGATAGCACGGGCGTTGTGGTGTTAATGGTTAAGCAAGTTGTCTGGGAGCCTCACCCCACTGCATATCCTAGTGGCATGAAACGATTGTTAGTGTCGACAAACCCTCAGACTTAACGAAAGGATATATTCAGTCAAGATGCACGGATGAAGACAGAAGCAAAATCAATCGAAATCAAGTCAACTATCCGTTCCTGCCGAAAGATGCTAGATCCTCTCGTGTTCCAGATGCCACTGCGTCGTACAATACTTGTAGGCTTCATCAAGTGTTTTACTATTAACCAACCTTAATGGTCTGCTAAGGACACCTAGAGGCACTGTGGGCAAAAGCACCGCGTGGGCTGGATGCAGGCTAAGTACTGTGGCAAACACATAGTAAAGAAGTCCTCAAACCATCATCTGACTACGCTCAAGCTGCTGGCAACAAAATCCCCATTCACATGGCTAGCAGAGTCACTTGGCACGGAAAATGTACCACAAGTCCTTGTGTTTTGTCAACGTTTGGACACAACGTAACAGGAGCACTAACATCGATCTGATCTTTCGTAATACAGCAGAATTGGCGGATACCATTTAAGTTACTGCCGCAGCAAAAACAAATGTAAGTTCCTTGAACAAACACACTATAACTAGGAGTTAGTCCAGTAGTGTTTTTCCAACTCCCTGGAGGACTAAAAAATGTAGCGTTGATCAGTTACTAGCGCTAAGCGCACGTGACCGGCGGGAGCGACAGTTGTATTAGTTTGAGCTCAAATTCAGAAACCACGAGAGTACAACAGCTGAGTAGTTTTGCAGACTGACAACGACGGGGGGGGAGGGCAGAGAGGCTGTGTGTCCGTGGTAGGGGCGCACTCACGCTGTCTATACTCACAGTGGTCTCACGGCACGGTGACCACGTGCGTCCTTGGCCGGGAACTGGGCCGCGCATAAGCGTAAAGCGTGTCGTAGCGTATCAGTGCTGTGAAGGCCCCAAGCCTCGAACAGTTCTCGCCGCGTAATACCACCGACCCGCGTCAGCTTGGGGCGAAGTCAAATTTACAGGAAGGAGGAGGGGCAGTGACTTAGGGCAACGGGTCGCCTCTTCGAACAGCTAATTTGTCCTCGCGTAGTCTCGAACTGAGTCGGCGTGTTGTTCAACCTGCAAAATAGCCCCAATCCGTACATTGGTCTCACAACTACTCTCTCCTTCGCTTTGACTGAATCCTGGAAAACTCAACAGTGTACAGCCCAATGCGTCCAACTAAGTAACTTATTGAGGCGAATGTTCGCATTCCGGGTGTATGCACAGGTAGGGAAGAGGTTGGCTGTACGATCGTCGGAATCACTTCTTTATTCATCTGGGCTTTCGAACTCTTACTGGAGTCCACCACCAGTCAATCAATTTATCGATCTGGCGCCGAGATGGAGAGCCCTGCGCGGTCGCCCAACTACTGACATTTCTAATTTTTGATTGCCCCCCACCTCGACAACTGCTGCTAGTTTTTTTTATCTCTGAAGATGGGCCTCCGTACGAGTTCGAAAGTAAGGGTGAATTGATAAATGATTCAGGCGATCGAATAGCCATCTCCTTTCTTACTTGTAAAAGTTAAGGATGTCATAATGAAAAAACAACCTTCAATCACACATAGAACTCCTCACGCCAGGCATCAGCATAACCGAGGTCCTTAAAACTACCAATAAGAGAGCAGTAAGTAGTTGCAATTTCTCTTGACAGCAGTAAGGGTTACTGAATAAATTATCGTATTCACCTAACGGCACTGGGGTAAGTATAGCCCCGTTATAAGTACCCCTAAAATGCCAGCAGAAGCAAAGATTAGACGAATTAGTATTCGGTTTAGGATTAGGAGGGCTAGCTTTGGCGCTAGAGATGAAATAAAGACATCTACGAAATTTAGCACAAGGCTACATGTAGTGTAGGAAGGTACTCACTCCGGTGTCCAACCCCGAAGTGACTAAATTGGTTAAAAAACAACGGATCTCGGACTATTCGGGGCAAGCTAGGGGTGAAGAGGAATGTGTGTGTTTGTATGTGAGCGTATGGCGCGCCAATTACACATGAACCTTCCGACAGCTGAAACAGTGACGGGAATCACGTGACCACGGCTCATGAGGGGAGAAAACGTGGGCGCATTTAACATCAAAGGCTGCCAATCACGCCGTCCGACTGCTCTGACATGACACTTTGTTCATAGAAGCGAATACGTGAGTTCCAGGAAACAGTTCAGAAGTAGAAGATGCGATCGCTGGAACAAGAAGTTAATTTGCCTGGTGTTTCGGATGCTGACTTGAATTCTTCATCAGAGATAACCGCAGAATAGGGGATACATGCACAGATAATGCAGTATTTATAGGTCGTAGGGGCCACGCAACCGCATGCACACTATAATTAGCAGCTCCGGTATTCACCGCTAGGGGTCGTAATTGGTGCGATGATGACTTGGTTGTCCGCTTCCAAGTCATTAATGACCGAGAGTTCGTCATCGTGTTGGATGTGGACTTGATAATGACGCTACAATTATGTTTGCTGCCATCGAAGTTGTTGCTGGGCCCGGCCATTCCCACGTGAAAGATTCTCCTGTTCAGCCAAAGTCTCAGCAGGGAATATGTGAACGGATCTGACAGTCAGGACAATCCAATTACTGCTATGAAGCAAATACGATGAAACGGAGAATCGCCTCGTTCACGCCCAAATTTTCCAACTCTTGAAGTTCTGTCTCAAGATGTACTTACATTCAACGGAACACTCTACGAACAGATGAAGGGCACGCCCATGGGTTCGCCAATTCCTGGAATCATAGTCGCGGCGGCCTTGGAACGGTTAAATGCGCTGGTTTTCCGACAACACAGACAGAAGTTCTGGGCTCGGTACATGGATGACATTTTCGTCGTAATCGAGCGGGATCGGGTGTTGAGTTTCACGGAACGTATGAACGCCTTCTTCTCGGACATAGAATTTACGATGGAGGGAGAAGAAAACAACCAGCTAGCCGCAAAGACGGTAGTGGCCTAAAAACTAAAGTGCTGAAGAAAACGACCAACGATATGCAAGTCCTGAACTTGAACAGCAGCCACCCAATCAGTCACAAACACAGCTGTGTAAGAGCGCTATACCGGCGCGTTGTAACGAAATGGAGGACAAAGTTACTGAATTACAATATCTTCAACGGGTACGGAGAGTGAAAGATTACCCGCACAGTTCTGTCAACCAATGTATACGCTAACGAGACAAGAGATCAAATCTAACCGGTACTCACGTCTGGTGAGCTCTTTTA